ATGAATCTCGACATACCAGAGGCTCTTCCATCCATTGGATGAGGTCCAGGTTTGAAACTGTCGAGATACCATTGGATCAGTGGCTGAACCCCGTGCCTGACCCCTATTACTGGACATCCTGACAGCTTACACCTTGACAAGAAATGCAAAGGACACATGTCTGATGCACTAATGGAACACCAAAACCTGAAGCATCAATGTGCTATACTTGTGACAGCTTCAAAAAATGAAAGCATCAATGTGCTTTTTGGCTAAAAAAATGAAAGCCCTAAAGGCTGCTTATGTAAAAACTACATTATTTTTTTGATAGTTGTGCCAAATAGTAAACCAAATTAATATCAAAATCTGAAAAGTAAAAAATATACTATTGTAGGTTCAAGTTAAGCTTCTGAATTGAAATGCCAACTGTTTGTTTTCAAATTTAGATTTCTGAATTGACATGGAGATTGTTTGATTTCAATTTGGAATTCTGAATTGACATGGAGATTGTTTGATTTCAATTTGGAATTCTGAATTGAAATGGTGATCGTTTGATTTTCAAGGTAGATTTCTGATTGAAATGGTGAATGTTTGATTTTCTATTAGATTTCTGAATTTAAATGGCGACTGTTTGATTTTCAATTTAAATTTCTGAATTGAAATGGTGACTGTTGGATTTTCAATTTCGATTTCCGAATTGAAAATTGCGACTGCTTTATTTTCAATTTAGAAACAGAATTGAAATTCTTACTGTTTGATAGTTTGATATAAGGTTTTTTTTAACCACCCAGGCTTTGCTGGAGTCAGTAAGATCTTAGGCGAGTACAAGTGTTCAAGCCATACTCACCCTCCAAGTTCTTTTGCCATCCACACTTTTGACGTAGCCCACCAAAGCTGCCACATACGCCTTCACCCGTAAAATCTCTTCCCATCGTTATAGTAGGCATCTCATCCTGTGCGCTTCTCCAAGCTTCCAAGCAACTACTAGCCCAGAAACTTTCCTGAACCAACCTCCACTAGAAGTTCCTCGAGGAGGCACGAACTCTGGTACCTGAGAATGAACAATACTAGATGCATAGATCAAGAAACTTGAATCCCACACAGAAAGCAAAACCATAGAAACATATGATGCTTGAGAAAATGTATGAGTTTCCTATCAGATACATCTTGAGTAGAGGACGGCCCAGTCGAAGCTTGAGAGCCTTTTTGTTTGGTGCAATAAAGAAGCTTCTTCACCTGGTCAGGAGTACAGGTCAACCTCCCCCATTGCTTCTGGAACTGGACCAGGTAGTTCTTTGGGGATGCATGCTGCTGAAGCCTCAGAGGGGGTACTTCAGGAGTGGCAGGTGCCAATAAACCAACATCAGGTTGAACTGGCAAAACCGTAGTTGCACTGGCTGGTGAAGACGTGCAGATACTGGACTTGGGCCAGGTGCCATTGCCATAGAAGCTTCAAGTAGTGGTGCACCTGGGTGTTTGGCTTTAGAACCTTCCACTTCTCGCAGAAAACCAGATCCACTACTGGGCTCACCTGGTGGCTGTTCTGGCAGGTCAGGCATCAGGCCATCCATCTGCAGCCTGTATGCAAAGTTCACCAAGAGGTCCGAGGTCTGCTTTTGCAACTCTTCTTCATTCAAAGGATCCTGAGAGGGGACGACAGCGGGGCCAAAAACAATGAAGTGATGAGTATGACAAAATGAAGGGGGTTGGCCGCCATCACCCTCCCTCTTCATCACTACAGGTGGAAGTGGTGGAACATTTTTGCATTGCTTTGTTGCTTGTGTTACATGCCCATGAGGTTCCTTTCAGGTTTTTTCTATAAAACTATGCTTATTACTAAGATTGCAACCAGTTGAACAACTACAAACTCCTGACAACCAAAACATTCCCATGCATGAGCGCACAAGAGTCCCAAACTTGCATGCGCATTCCAAAACTTTGTAGCTTGCAGGGATGGAAAGCAACACAATTGAGACTGGAGGACTCTTCTGCCCAGAGTTCAAATTGGCGTGCGTTCGCGCGTGCTGGTGACAGCATCTCTTGGAGCAGAAAACGGACGCTGCGCAGGTTGAGGGGCAAGGGAAAAAATTGCGACTTTCTGTTGAACTTGTACACACATGTAGACATATTTACTTGTGTATATAGTATATACGCATATAGAATGACGTTTGATTACGTTTGTGCGGGGAGGAACGAAATAGACCCCAAAGGTCCCTGCCACATATATATATATATATACATAATATATATATATATACGTAATATATATATACGTATATATATATATATACGTATATAAATATATATAATATAATATAATATAATATTATATAAAAGAATATAATATGCTATACTATAATATAATATGATATGATATAATATAATATATAACATAATATAATATAATATAATATAATATAAGTTTTTTCCCCATGCCTAGAACGACTTCCTCATCCTTAAGACTCCAGTCTACTATTTATCCTTTTCTTCGTTACTTCTTCAGGGATGCACCGAATGCCTAGAAGCCGTCTTCGCGTCCCCCTTGAGTAGCAGGCCAGAGTAAGAATATTTATAAAGATTCCCCCCCAATAATACAATAATATAATATAATATATATAAAGTATACATGTATTAAACTATGTCATCATGTCAGTACAAGTGAAAGTATATTTAGTATATCTCATGGCTATCAGTTTCAGTGCTCAGGTTGTCAAGTTTTCATGTGTCAATGGCCTCACATCATTCCATGTCTTGATTCATTGATGGAGCTCGCACCGCGCCAGTAACGTGTATCCTTACTACCGCACCTTCGCCCACGATCTGATGTGTGACAAGATGCAGGGGGCCCAGAAGGCCTTAGATGGCCAGCTTCCATTTAAGATGAGATAGATAGGGCGACCGATGGTGAGATATTGACAACAGCAGCTTTCTGGCAAAGACTGAATTCAGGCTTTCGAACAGCTTTTGCGTTTTTTTTTGTTCAAATCCCGAAAGCTCCCTCCCACGGGACGTTTAGTCTGTTTGTTGTAGACACGAGGCTGCACAGCATGAAATTGCTCATCCTTTTCACGATTGCATAGCGCTCAGCCTGTGATGCCAACCTTGTAAACTCAAATTTCAACGACCTTGGAGATGTTTCGACGCGTCTTGAGGATCATACAGGAAGTGATTGTTGCCTGAGTTTGAACCTACCTGTAAGGTTGTGTTTTTTGGGCGGTGTGAATCTTCTGGTGGACAGATATATAATTAATTATGATTATATAATTGCCATCACTGATGCTGTCAGGTTGTGAGCATGATCCTCATGCCACTAGTTGCACTATGTGCGGACATTGATTTGAGGAGAGCCAAATTGCATGCTCAGTTGTCACTTGCATAAAAGTTCACCTAGAATTCCAGGATCCTTTAAACTTTACCTTTTGCAGGCAGCTTCGTGAAAAGGAAGATCTCAATATTGCAGCGGTCTTCGCAACCTCTTTATCTTTCGTAGTGGCATTCTTGGCAGCAAACAGGAAGTGGGAGCGGTACAAAATGGACAACTACGAGGACCACTATGACATGTCGTGCCCCAGCACCATTGTGTCACACTGTCTCAGTAACAGAGAAAACGAGATACCGATTGAAACGAGCAGAAACGACCGGCTCAGGTACGAGGGCCATGAGGGACATGAGGGACATGAGAAAAGCCAGTTGCTGGGGGTGTCGCCATCGTCCTTCGGAATGCTGCCGCAGATGCCGCAGATGCCACACATTCCAGGGATTCCAGGGATGGGTCCGATGGGTCCCATGCAAACTCCGTCGCGGCAAATGCAAATGCGGCCTAGAGGCAACTGAGTGCAAGATCGACCAATGGTCCAATGGTGGCACAAACGGGCAATGATTTCAGGAATATTCAGGAATCACAATTCAAAAGATTCAAAAGGTACTGCAAGCTCCTTTCATGAAAGTTGGGTTGGCGATTTCCACTTGCAGTCCGTGATAGGAACCCAACACAAGCTTATAGGATCACCCACATGTCGATGGGTAGTAGTATTGCTGTGTAGTGCCATTGATAGATACAGATTATGCAGCAACAAATCCAAAGGAATGCGGGACAGCGTGTAGTGCTTCACATTTACTGTGCTGACCATGAGGAAGATTGTGTGATGGGGGCTTGAAAACCAAGCTGCTAACCTGTCCTATGTGCGAGCCAACGTACTTCGTGTGTTTGTGCTGATCATTTTCCTGTCCTCGCGCAAGTGAACGTGGAACAACTTAAATAAGACGGCCTTTCCAGCTGTCACTTGGATGTGGGTTTAAATCATACATGACTTTGTATTTTGTATCCTGGATGCACTTTTGGAATCCACTTCTTAGTTGACGACTTTGTCTGCTCCGGTCTTCAAGTGTGAAATTGTCGGTCCAAAGTCATGGCCGAAGCACTGAATTTCGGGTTGCTGGGCGCAGGACGCAGCAGACAGGGGAGATGCGAAAAAGATCCTGACTGCAGATGAGTAATTAATCAGATGGTTTATGATGGTTTGAGACTTTGGGAATGTCCATGGGCTTGGGATTCTGGCTGCAAGGGTTTTGACACACCAACAGAATGGGCCAGATCGACCGAGTGCTGTCACTCTGAAGATTGAAATATGACATTTATCTATATTTATCTACCAATTGGTGCAAGCATGAATCTTATTGGGAGGCAATCGAAGCTGCAATTAGCCTGATCCCATTAGACTAGGATTCAAGTGTCCCACGTGATTTGGCGACCCTGTGGAAAGTCGCAGAGCAGTGTAACCGCAAAATCATGACTCACGGTTGAGCTGTAGTTGTCTCAAGCATCCAGCGCCAAAGCAGTGGAATGCAACCCTGAACAGTAAGCTTCCATGAAAAATCTTGATGTGTAGTGCAACAAGATGCACCAAGGCATCATTTCATATCATTTCCATCATTTCGGTGGCTTTTCCAAGTTTTTTCATGTTTTTTTCCCAATTTTTCCATCTTCCTATGAGAATCACAGCCTCCCAACGGCAGCACCGGACGGTCTCTGTCCCCGTCGCTTCCATGGAGCGGCCAGAGCCGGCCAAGGTGCGAAAGGTGGAGGTCACCGTAGAGGTGCCCCAGAGTTTCCCAGAGAATACAACGTGTAAAAATAACATCAATAAACATGTATCGTATGCTGAAAGTCATGTAATATATAATATAATATATATATATACATTAAATAATGACATAATTACATAATTACATAATTACATAATTACATAATTACATACATACATACATGCATGCATGCATGCATACATACATAGATACATAGATGCATAGATACATACATAGATACATACATAGATACATAAATAGATACATACATAGATACACACATAGATACATACATAGATAAATACATACATAAATACATACATACATACATACATCCATCCATCCATACAGACAGACAGACAGACATACATACATACATACATACATACATACAT